CGGCAGAGGTCGACGCTCCTTCCCCGCGGCACCTCGGGCAGCTGGCCCTGACGCCTGAGGGAGGTTTCCCTGGAGCGTGGAGGCGAGGGCTGGCCGGGGGCTCCTTGCTCTGAACGCTGCTGGCCTCCTCCCGTGTCTCCCGGGCAGAGGGTGCGAGCGGTGCCTGTCGTCGAAGGGAAAGCGGTGGGAGACACCCTCTCGGCACCCGGGGAAGAGATCCAGGTAATCCCTCCGGAGCCATTATTCACTTCCCAGCAGAAGGAGCTGGTGGCTGAAAGATAATTTAACCCTCTCCCCTGCTCCTGCCTCAGCGGGGAAGCCTGCCCTGGGCTGGTGGCAGTGGGGTGAGCAGGGGCGTTTTGCGGCCCCCATCTCCTGCTGTGCTCCCCAGCCTTCGGGGCAGGTGTCCCTGCATCATGGGGTGCCCAAAGCATCTGAGCCCTGCTCAGTGCCAGGCCGGATCTGGCTGCTGCTCCTTTAGGGCAATATGATCAATATTATCCCCTTGCCTCCAGCATGGATGCGGGAGGGAGTAGGCTCGGAGCCATGCATGGCAGCGCTGGTGATGTGAATCACCCTGCGCACCTGCAGAGAAGGTGAAAAGCAGCTCAGACCAAACCCCAGGTATTTAATTCATCATCAGCCAAGATATCCTGTTTCATCTGGGGATCAGGTAATATTTCCTGGCCCTTTGAAAGTCCATTTTGAAACGAAGCAAAACAAAACGTTATAGATCCCTTCCTTTCCCATCTCACTTTGCTCCACCCCAAGCTATTTCCTGATTTTGGCCTGAATTTTGGCATAAGATTCTAGCAAGTTTATTCTTCTCCACAAAACTTTGCTCGGCTCAGCTTGTGTTGGTGCAGCCGGATTTGTAACTGGAGGTATGAAGGCTGCTGCCCTGGCTGGCGGGGTCCTCTCCAGGCCTGTAGATCCTGCCTAGGATCGCAGCTTCCTGGAAAAGGACATGGGCCTAACTTTTCGATTTGTTTCCTGGTGCTTTACTTGGGCTGTTTCACTTCATATGACAGATAATACTAACTCTTAAAAACTAGTGACTGATTTGTGTACATGCTGAGAGCTATCACAGTGACAGAGCAAAGAGAAATCCCTCCAAGCTGTGCATGGTGACCCTCCTGCCCCAGCTGCCTGCTAGGGACTCCTCCGCACACGAAACGTGGAAGTGAGAAAAACCCAAAACCTCTCAAAATGCACTGGGCAACCCCAAACCAGCCTGCAAACTAGCCCCCCTCCCAACCCGCAGGTGAAGAAATCAGCCTACAGGTTTGGTTTAAAATGTTGATTAGTTGACAGGGCTGTCCCTTACGTTTGCAAGGTAAACTGAAAGCTTGCAAAACAGGAAGACGCGGAACAAGCTACCAGCTGAGCCAGTCAGGTTGCAACTGCCACAGTAAACTCAGCGAGACCCCCTGCTTAAAGCACCAAGCAGCGAACAGAGCTCCAGTACAGCTTGGTGCTGCAGCTGAACACGTTTGGAAAGACAGCAAAAATGGTTTTTGTTGGTTGCAGTGGTGCAGCAGGCAGGGAAGGTCTGGGTGTGGGGCGTTCCTCCCACACAGGCACACTGTGAGAGGTACCACCACCCACCCCTGTGCCATCCCACCACTGCTGCTTTCACAAAAGCTCTGCTGGGAATTAATGCAGGGTCTTCACACAAAACTGCGAAATGAACTGCTTGCTTAAGGGCAGCAAAACTGCTGTGTTTTGTGCCTTGGTGTGGTTTTGGTTTTAGCAAAAGGGTGATTAAAAAAGTATGCTTGTTACAGGGAACTCTGGGTGTCTCTGTCATGATATTAATATTTCTGCATTGCACAGAGCTGCCACAGAAAATACCCCTTAAATCAAACCCACTTTCCTGACAAGAAATTTGGGCTGGCCACATAACCACATCCTCTGGCCTCTGTCCCTTTCATGAAGGCAAGCTTCAATTTCCTAGCTGAGAAATTTGTAAACCAAGCAGCGCAGTCAAACTCTTTTCCACATATTTTGAGGGGGAGGAGAATATTATCATACAAGTGAATCACAAGCACTGGAAAAGCAGAAAATGCAGAAGTAAGGTGATGGATTCCACCAAAGCTCTGTATCTTATCTCTGACCACGTGAAGAGCTAGCGGTGTTTTATTTTGGGGTGTAAGAGGCACTGTCAGGTTCAGAGAAATAATTCTGGGGACCCTCTTTGCACTAGCAGCCTTTCTGCGTGTTCAGTCTGGGGAGCTGGGAGGAGATTTTGTGTTTCTCATCCTTGCCCCAAGGAAGGTGGGATGGAGAGGCCGGGGTGGAGGACCGCTGCAGCAATGATGGTACCAGGCTCTGCCTGGAAATGTATAAATAGGAATCCTAGTTTTGGAGTAAAGCACACAGAAAAATATCAAAACAAACTTTTTGGGTGTAGCGGTGCATTGGGATATATTCCCACTTCCTCTCCTGAAGGCTGCCTGGTGCAGGAGGTGTCAGCTTCCCAAGGTGGGGTAACAACCCCTCCGTACGGAGGTCTGCTCCCCGCTGGCCCCCGGGGAGCAGCTGGTGCCCTGCACAGTTGCCCTGCATGACAGTAAGTGATGGAGCACAGGGTTCATTAGTCTGCCAGGACGCTGCTGGTGGCACAGACGGCGCACCCACGATACACATGCAGTTGTGGGCAGCTTAGAGAATTATTTTTCCCAGCTGCTCATGATTAACTTTAATGATACAGATGGAGCTCCCCTGACAGACAATCCTGAAGCAGTAGTGTTGTAATAGCCAGGAGGGACCAAGGGCGTGAGAGATACAAGGTCCATAGGGGGAAGTTTCTCTGCTGAAGAAAGTTCCTCTACTTCTTTTGAAACAGTTGTTTTGAGAAAAGATACTGCTCTCCTTCCAAACCCTCCCTCATTTAATCTTCTCCCCTTGTTGGTAATACAGGTCACATAAAGTCACATTTTATCACAGGACGCAAAGCAGCAGCTCATTACCGAGTTTCTCGATAAGTTCTGTCCTTCAGCTTCTTCTCAAGTATGCAGTGACCGCTGGTGGCTTTCTGCCTTAGGGACCAGGAGAGAATGCTCCAATGGAGAGGTTCCAGAAACTCATTTTAATTCCTCTCATCTTAACTGCCTCGCTACCAGGTAGGACACATTCATAACCCTTGAAATGAGCCACCATGGACAAATTGTGTGAACTAATTTTAAAGCCGTGTAAATGGCAATTACTAGTTATATCAGATTGAACAGTCAGTCCCAGAGGGGGATTATTTAAACTGTTTGAAACAGTTGAGTTTACATTTCAAGCCTGAATGATCTGATGGCTTAGAGTGGGCTTCAGTATGCAGGAGTGAGCAGTGGATGGGGTGGGGAGGAGATGGGGAGGCTGCCCTCTCTCACTTCCAGTGAGCAGGGATGTCCCACTTATTTCTCCCTCTCCTTGTGCTCATCTTCCTCCTGAGTGTTTGGGACTGCTTTTGAGGGGGCATCTGTAGAGAACTTAATATCAGCAGCTGATTTTGCTTCCAGAAATATGTGCAAATTATAATTTTGCTAGTTTGCCTCCAATTTACCTTTCATATGCCTGAGTTTCAAAGTGAATTCAGATAAAAAGTATCTTGGTGGCAGAGCTTTAAAGAAAATGTGAATATAAAGTGACTAGTTGGGTAACGGAGACAAGGCTGATTTTTTTTTTTTTTATTATAGTCTAGCTGGCGTTTTAACAGGCTCTAAAAGGAGGGAGCTGCAGTGGCATGAGAGGGAAGGTATTGTCATGGCTTAATAATCAGTGAAAGGAAACACAATGCAGGAATAAATGTTGAGTTTTCTGAGCAGAGTGGCGTTCCCAGTGGAGTTGCACAGGGATGTGTGGTATTCAACAAGCTCTTAAACAACCTAGTGAAGAGGAGTGAACTGTGAGGTGGCAGACTTTGCAGGTGGTGCAGAATTACTTAGGGCAGCCAAATCCAAAAAGAGACTGGAAAGATTTGCCAGAAAATGTCACAATGCCAAGTGAGTAAGTAATAAAGGAGCAGAAAACATTCAATGCAAAGCATCACTTAACTGAAGATGTCTAGTGGGGGAAAAGAATAGATATCTTGGAAAGAGAGTAAATTGCTGAAAGAAGGAGAAAATTTCACCACTAAGTGTCTTTAGCAAGGGAAGTACAAAGAAAACTGGCATTATATAAATCTGCAGAAAGCTTATATCTTGAATACTGGACGTTTTGTTAGCCCTTCCATTTCCAAAAGGACATATTAGGTCTGAGAAAGGTATAAAGTGTGACAGAGGTGATCAAAGGTATGAGGAGGCCTTCATTATACTGATAAATTTTTCTGCTTGTGAAAAAGAAGAAATAGTAAAGATTTATTAAAATAATTAATTATATGGAGGTGAATGGTGAATGGTGAAATGGTTGTTGACAATTTCTCATAACAAAAAGAACTAGTGGCAGCCAGTAAAACTATCAGAAAGAAGGTTTAAGGCAAATCAAAGAATGTACTTTTCCTCACAGTATGTAATTAAATAGTAAAGCTCATGGTCACTGGATATGGGGGATACCAAATTGTAAACAGGCTGAAAAAGATAGAAACAAGTATCATGGAGGGTAGATCCATAGGTGCAGATGCAATCATTGGCTCAGGAAATCCCTAGATCTCTTATTTTTGGACACTGAAGAGTTATAACAAGGAAGCCTCAATTTTTATTTGTTCTGTTTCTTGCACTGTCTTCCTAAGCATCCAGAGCAGAGTACTACATGTTTTAGAGGACTTCTGTTACTGTTCACTAATGCTTTTAGTCAAGCACCCCTGCAATGGGTGTTTTATTGTCCCACCTGCAAGCTGTATTGGGGTAGCAGGCGTTGCCCGCACTGTGTGGGGCAGCTGTGGGAGCACACCCCAATGCAGAGAGAAAAAGTATATTGTGGAGAGTCAAGCATTGCTCTTGAAAGAAGTATTGCTGCTCTCAGGATATCAGGAGTCACAAGGCTGGCTGGTGTGGCTAGGCTGCCAAGATGGCTGCATGGCACAGCGAGTTTGAGCATCCCCGTGGATGGGCACAGCATGGCCTTCGGCAGCAATAGTATTGCAGACCACAGGGCTGACATGCAGTGCAGGGTCCCAGCCTGCTACCAGGATATTGGTGGTGGTGCTGCTGCGGTGCTCCCAGCCTGGGGACCCTCACCTCTAGAGGCAAGAGGCAGCACGGGAGGAAAGGAGGAGTAGTCCAGCAGCAGTCAGGAGAGGCTGCAAGGGACAGCTGTCAAACAGTGAGTAAGAGAAGAGATGGGAAGACACGCTTGGGGGCTGTGGAGACACTTGTATGCAGGTGGGAGGAAATTTTGGTTTTCAAAAAGCTCAGCTTCAGGGTTGTTGGTTTTTGAAACAGACTTGAGATGTGCTGAAGAAAAATCTTACCAAATGCAAAACAATTTATGGCAGAGCTGTTGCTGGAGCAGTGGGCCAGTGATGAGGCAGGGAAGGCAGAAGACAAGGTGAGGTGAGCAAGAGACTAAAGAACGAATGACAAGAAAAAGGAATTTAAAACAGCCAGGAAGAAAAAAATGTAGAAATCCAAACAGAAATAGCAGAGAAGGAAGGGAGGAAGACAGAGACTAGACACAAAAACTGAAGGATAAAAGCCAGGGTTTATGGAAGGGCAATACGGGTATAGAGGGGGAGATTATTTTGAAATATGATAATGAGGCTGGAAAAAAGGGAATCATTATGGCAAAAGGATAAGTCCATCCTGTCCTTCACTGTGCTCCATCCAAATAGGTCACTTAGAGGAAAGACAGAGTCAGCAGAGGAGAGGAGGGAAGGAAGAGAAGGTAGCCACATCTTGATGCCCCTGTTGCTGAAACCTTCAGCATGAGAAAGTGGTCCTTTAGAGTTAGTTCAAGCACGGAAGAAAAAACATTGATGACGAAGGGCAAGGGCAGTCCTTTGGCAAATGAGGTTCCCTCAGTGCAGGCGTCATCCAGGGAATGAGGTGTATTTTTGTTTCTTCAAAACCCCGAGTGATGTGACAGCGAATCTGTGTTAGAGGAGGGAATAAACAGCTCATAAAGGAGTTGGTATATACTCTGCATGCGGTTGGGAAGGACTGAGCGACTGAAATACCATAAATACTTATCAGTTTAAGCAAACTTTCACCACTGGTGACTGCTTTATAAACATTTAGTGATGTGCCTCAAACAAGGTGTCCTAACTCAGCTTTGTTCTTCAAAAATCAAGGGGTAGTGCAATATCATGAAGACAGCCTAACACTTCCCTATTGCAAAGATGATATTTGCCTGGGTGGGATTTCGCATTGGTTGTGTGTGGGGAAGCAGATGTTAAACCAGCTGTTAAGAGCTGAATGCATAATTCCTGTAAAGTGCAATGACAATCTAGCCCGAGGCTTTAATTTGTCTGAAAGCAACCATCTGCAAGGTACTTTTTAAGCAATATGTAAATGAAACTAGCACTAAAATTTTCTCCTTAGTGCAAGAAGCAAGGCCCAGCAAAATGACTTACAGCATTGGCTTAACTACTGGTAACTGGGTTTAGATCTCATTTCTGTCATGAATGTCCTCTTTGACCTTACACGAGTTACTTTATCAGTGTTTGTACGTGGGCTGTACAATGGAACGCACTGTTAGTTCAGGACTCCATGTGCTACTGCAGGATAAAAAATAAAAGCAAAAAGATAAAGAGGCAAAGTTAAAACCACCAAAAATGTTTTGGCAGCCTGTGGAGAAGCTCATGAAGCTCCTTTTTTCATTGTGCTGGGGCTTTACTGAGATCTAAACGGAGGCAAGGTTGAGTGTTGTCCCATTCCTCAGTCCTCCTGCCACCCATAGGATCCCCATACAGGGCTTATGGACCTGTTCCCTAGCTCACAGAAGTCAGTGAAAGACCATCTGTTGCTCCACCAGATATGGTTGGTGGAAGAAGATGTAGATCCTACCAAACCCATGGACTGATAAAAAATTATTATATTAGATGAAGGAATAACTCATACCTACCTGCCTATACTGTCCTGGCTGTCTGAAGAAAACAAATGCAATACTAGCCATGTATTTTTAGAGCAGATGATCACTGATTATTTATGTTTAGGGATAAATTCAAGATTATAATGGAACTCACAGACATGATCTCGTAGCAAATGACTAACAGCTAACAGTGTACTGAAAGTCACATCATTTATTCAGAGCCATGGCAAACCACGGCTCCTTAAGAAGGTGGAGTGTTTGCACAAGCATAGAAATAAATTACAAATGCACAGAGATCAGTTTGCGTTAAGAGGAACAATGTGGATAAGTACTGCAGCTCCTGTTTCATGAGCAACTAAATGCATTTTGGCGTTCACTCTAAGGAAGTTTGTTCATGGCTATGTCTATCATCATGGTAGCTGTTTATGTCCACTTCAACCAGTCAGGAAGAATTCAAACAAAGTGTGAAAAAAACCTCAGCACATGAACATGTTATAGACACTGTACATGTACAGGGAGTAGTATTGTAAAGCCTGGCTACAATATGAGTCAAGAAAAAATAGATAATTCAAAGACATGTTTGAGCTTAGAACAGTGTTTCAACAAGAGTAATACAAGTTAGGAATAGAAATCATGACAACTGCATGTTGAATATCAGGGAACAGGGTTGTTATTACATGACAAATGGTCTCACTAGCATGCACTTCATCAGTACATGTTCATTAAAAAACCTGTAGCTCTGTAAATGATGCTATCCACAGACATGTGGTCAATCCCTAGCATTCAGAAAGTGACAAATAGAAAAGAGAGGAAATTGCTTTTAGGCATTTTGTTGTGTTAACCATTTATAAAGCAATATATTAAGGTATGCACATAGATTTGATTGCTGGAAACGGCTTTTAGGCATTTTATTGGGGTAACCATTTATAAAGCAATGTATTAAGGTATGCACATAGATTTGATTGCTGAGTTTGTCTTCAAGCTGTTTCATGTTTTAAAGCATTTCAGTTCACCTTTACAAGTCTGAAGAGAGCTTTGAATAAATGCTACTGGAAAAAATGAGACATTTAAGTTGAACAGAAAAATGCTTTACTGTATCTTATCTGGCTTTATTAACAATCAATGGAAGTGAAGTTTGCTTTTCATTTAATGTTTTATTGCTCACACACAGATACACCCTGGAGAATGAGGTGCATGGCAGAGGTAACATAACCCAGGAAGGTGGAAAATTTTTGTAAAGGCTTTTGTAAACATGACAGAACTCAGAGTCAATCATACAAAGAACCAGGGAGAGATAGGTTTATATAATCCTGCAAAACAAAGAATGAAAAGGCTTTTGTCTGTAAATACATGCGGTGGGTGGGAGGAAAGAGAGGAGCTATTTATATTAAAGAACAATTCTTGGCACAAACCTGGTTAGATATACACTGCCTAGGATTAAATGTAAGCTGGGAATTAGGAAATGATGTTCACATTGGAGCAATGAGATTACAGACCTTATGCCCTGGGCGCGTTCACCGAGGCTCTGGTTGCAATGTTGTAACGGAGATTGGGCTCTGTTTCCACTTATACAACTATCAACAATCTCTTTTGTGTGAAGCAATACAGCATATTCTCCCCTACTCAGATCTGCTATTGACTGAATGAAAAATGAGTTTTTCAATAATTTATAATTAATCCACTAATGAATAAGCTACATAAAATGTATAAAACCTGGGCTGAATGAAACCTTTGAAAATCACTTCATTGTCCTGAATACTCTTAGCAAGGGAGTAATGACCATTTCAAACTTTCTTTCTTCTGGAAAATAACTGAACACTTAAGCTCAGGCCAAATTTGCAGACGTGGGGTTTTAATTAGACTGCCATGGATTGTAGTATCTAATTGCTGCAATTACGTAAACTACAGCCTGAATTGTTAGGGGTAGCACTGGCAGTTCTGTTGCTTCCTCAGCATGAATGTTTCCCAGTAAGTGATGAAAAACTCAGTGGTGAGGTAGATCTCACTGGCAAGACTGCTTGGTCTGCAGAGAACTTGTGAGATACTCTACCCTTAATTGGTTTAGTGGTGGACTTGGTAGTGTTAGGTTAATGGTTGGACTGGATGATCTTAAAGGTCTTTTCCAACCTAAACGATTCTAGGATTCTAGGATTCTATGAAAATTTGACTTGACAAGGCCCTGTGCAAATGGCCTAACGGTGAAGTTAGCTCTGCTTGGAGCAGAGAGTTGGGCTAGAGATTTCCTGGGGTCCCTTGCCACCGAAACCTTTCAAAGCCCCCATCAAAGAGCAACTCTGTCACAGTGAGGTGCAGGTAAGCACCAGGCCAAAAGGGAGCAGACCCGAGCTTAGAGGCAGGTGAAGAAATGGTAGCAGTTGTGTGGGATGAGGAAGAGCTGTGGTGGGTGGGATGTGTGCAGAGCACAGGCAGTCCCCTGAGAGGAACCTCGGTGACAGCAGAGCCTTCAATAGCAGTCCTCTCCCTCCCCCTCTGCTCCACCTGCAACCAGCAGGGCTGTGGGTGGCACTGGCTTGGTAAAGCGACTGGCTTATGAGAGCATACCATTTGGGGCTCCCCAATACAGGAAAGACATGGATAAACTGAAGCAAGTTCTGTAGAGGGCCACCAAGATGGTAATGGGCTGGAGCATTTGCCCTGTGAGGAGCAGCTGATGAAGCAGGGCTTGTTCAGCCTGAAGAGGAGACAGCGGCGGGGTCTCTAATGGCAGCCTGCCAGTACCTGCAAGGAGGTTGTCAAGAAAGTGGAGCCAGGGTCTTCACAACAGTAGATGGCAAGCGGACAAGAGACAACAGGCATATGTTGAAACAAAAAAGGTTCAGAGTGGACAAAAGGAAAAGCTTTTTCCCCATGAGGTCAGGCAGTGGAGCAGGTTGCCCAGAGAAGCTGTACTGTCTCCATCCTTGGAGGTTTTCAAGCCCTGACTGGATAAAGCCATGAGCAATCAGGTCCAACCTCAGAACTGATCCTGCTTTATCAGGGGACTGGACTGGAGACATCCTGAGGTCACTTCCAACCTGAATTATTCTATGGCCATTTGGTCAGCTACTCCTCCTTGAAAGACATTGACAGTACCTCTGCCTTTGCTCTACTGCACATGAACATAGTGTGCTCTGGGGAACTGAGCCAAAATCCAAAGGGATTCACAAAGAACAAAGACCCAGAGAAGCAAGTTCCTAATTTCGCACAACACTGCTCTCTCAAGTCCTGTTCCCTAAGACATCAACCAAATAATTTGGGTTGTTCTTACAGTTTTGTCCCTCATGAAGACTAAGGTATATGATGTTTTGTCTCTGTGAAATACTGTAAGATTTGCCCACCTTCAAAACAGCACCCATTTCCCCTGGCTATTTCAGGGACTGAATTCACAGCTGCTGCTTTGAAAAAAAGGTGTCTGCCTTCATCCTTCCTTCACTTTCTTCTTGGTAGAAAGAAGTGCTTCTACCTTCCCACGCACGGGGGATCCACCATCTGCCTGGGCAACAGCTGCACATTCATTCCTCTGAGGGCAACCGGAGGCCCTGGTTCTGTTGAGGAGGAAAGGAAAACAGAATGCCTTCACTAGAAATGAGCTTTCAGTTCTGAAAAATAGTAACCAAAATTCATACTACCTTTTAAGGAGAAAAACTCATGAATTACAGCACCTCTGGCTAACAGAAAGCCTGGGAAGGTGGGGAAGCATGTATGTGATGCATGCATGAGAAATAAGGGAAGAGGCAGATGAATAGGGGAAAGAGCATGGAAGGATTATATGCTGTGGCTGCAAAAAATCAGTAGCAATCTGAGATACATAAAAGGGACCAGTTACCTACTCCTTTATTTTTTTGAAGTCTAGAGAACTGATGTATTTTCCTATTTAAAAGTGGAACTTTCTTCATTCAGCAAAACGATGTCAGCTTTTTAGTGAATCACTGAAAAGAGAAAGTTAGGTGATATTGGAGTGGGAGGAGGAGAGACCATAAATCAAACGCATCTTTCAAGAAAACTATTTGATCTAAGCTGGAGCTGAAAGATTAGATTGTACATCTTCATCTCTGAACTGGTTAAGATCTCTTAGTATATATAAACCTGTACTTTTGGGGTTTGTAATGGTTGGCTTGGGGATCCATTATAACAATGTAGCATTTGACCACTGTTTACTGCTGTGGGATTAACATTACTCAGTTGCAATTTCAATTCACCATACATATCTTTTAACTACTTACTGACAGGCATTATAGAAAATGAGACAATAATCTTTTCCTGAAAGTACCAGGTGCTGATGACTGTCAGAGGTGAAGTACCAGCTCAGCTGAATCAACAGCCTTTCCTGATACACAACTAAGTGCTTAATATCCCGGTGCTCCTAGTGAATAATACCATTTGAACCAGGGTGCCTGGATTTTTAGCCTTAAATTGCTGGCAGTAAAAATTAAGTCAAAGGCCTTTGGTGGTGCTGTTGCATATGTATTTACAGACTGTTTTTTCCTTCCTTCCAGGTCTTGGCTTTTGTTACTCTATTGTAAATGGCCCTACTAATGCAACAGTCCTTGCTGGTTCTGAAGCCCGTTTTAATTGCACTGTGTCAGTAGGATGGGTAATTCTTATTTGGTTGTCCAATGGAAATCCTGTCCTCACTGTCATCAATTCTCAAGGAGCTGTTGAAACATCAGGCCGCTTCACGTCTCAAAATTATACCAGTAGCAATGGGTTTACGTCGGAGCTGATCATCCACAACACACAGCTGAATGACTCTGGGAAAATTGAATGCAACATCCAGCAACCTGGTCAGAGCAGATTTGCATTTCTTTCTGTTCAAGGTGCGTATAGCCATCAATAGAAAGCTATTTTATTATACTGCACTTAAAGGAATCCTCTGATGCATTGCCCAAATTATCCCTGTGAAGGAGTACATATTCTCATTTACCATCCTTTGCCTTCTGTCCTCCTGGTCTTAATTTTACTGTCAAAGCAGGTTTCAGAGTCACATTCAGAGTGCCATTAACAAAGGTTTGAACTGCCCTTGTTTTTTTCCTGTTACATCTCTTATTCTTTATTGGATTGCATGAAAATGCCTGAAAGCTGTATCAGGTCCACCAGCAGTCATCAAAAATGATCTTTTGGCTGGAAACAGCATGGATTACCCCATATGCACTTCTTTGTACATGAACCTCCTGCTGTCTTTAGCGCAGATCTCCCTCCTGATTTCTGGCTCAGGAATCAGTCTGCATCCAGCTTATTTGAGTTAGATTTAATGGCATGTACAAGTAAAGCCCTTGAGACACAAGGTGATACTCTTCATATGATTGCTGCTGCAAGCCACCATTTTCAAAGAACAAAAAGTACCTGTGTATCAAGCCCCTGTGTATGAGACTTCTTCCTCCTCTCTGAAGCATCAGTAGTGACAGAGTGCAGCCAGTAAAGCAAGATCTAACCACCAGACACTATGCATTTGTCAAAGAGATGCTTCATGAAATGAGAACATCTCATCATCTACCTCTAAACATTTCCTGATAAAACCCAAGCATACTTAAAATTTAGAGAGAAACACTGTTATTTCATTATGTTGTCCTTCAGCTGGAAATATATCAGGATGGCTAAAAAGTATAATTTCCTGCTTTTTATTGGAAAGGTACTGAAAGCTGACACTTGTGCTTCAGTCATACTGGACAATGTGTCCATGAAGTTGCAATATCTGCATGTTTATATCATGCACATGGTATATCTGTGTTAATAATGATTGGTTTTAAATTCATATCTCAAGGCACAGCAAGATAAGATTTAAAACTATCAGCAGGAAAGCAATGCAGCCAAATATTCTGAAGGAACAAAACGTCTTTTCCCTCCTACAGTTAATGGATCTTTATTCATCAAAAATAACACCTTAACAGTACAAGAGAACAAAACAATTGAAATTGTATGTGAAGCCTTAGGATGGGCTCCAGCTCCAGACATTACCTGGATGGCAAATGACTCTTTCATTAATAAGTCGAGGTATGTTACCCAGCAAAGTCAAGGATCTAATGACCTCCACAACGCCCTGAGCATCCTAACTTTGACTCCGGTGGACACTGAGATTTTGACTTGTTTAGCTGACATAGAAGCACTCCCTAACCCTCAGAAAGCAACTGTAACTGTTATTTTTGTCAACTCTACTATAGGTAAGTGAATGTTTGTTGTGCTTTGCCTATGCAATTTTCTCAGAACTGTGCTTTTTGTTTTGTTTTGCTTTGTTTTACTTTGAAAAGTCTTTTATTTGCAAATGAAATACTGTGAGATGTTGAAAGGTGATAGAGTTAAGACCCAATAGTCACAACTTAGGTAGGGTTAAATTCACATCTGTGAGAGGTCTGGTACAAGTCTAATGAACTACAAAGTCCAGCTTAGGACTGAGCAAGACAAACGAAGGAGTACACCTGCCACTGACTCCTACTATGGATTCACTGCTAAGAAAATCAGCCTTTGCTGCTTGACCAAGTAAACATCTAATGAATTTACATGTTAAATATCTTTGATTAGGCCATGCCTGCCATATGAACATAATTTGTTAGACCTCACTTACTCAAAGCCAAACCCTCAGGTGAAATTGTTCTCCATAATATTCAGTTTTACCACTGACTTGGAAAAAAACCCTGGATTTTACTCCCAGTTTCCACATACAAGCCAGAACAGATTCTGTACTGGCACTTCAGATGCAAATAGAAAGTTCTTCATGTGAGCTGTGATCAGAAGTGATGGAGCCATTGTAGTATGATGGTAACATCCCCAGGGCTACACTGAGGCTGGCACCTGATTGCAGATGGTAGCATTTATATGTAGGAACTTCTATACTCTATGCCTATCATCAATCTACTCTAAGAATGTCTTTGTACGTGGTGTATTCACCCATTACAAAGCAAGAATCAGGTCATCAAGAGAAGCTGCATATCATGGGCTTTATCCCAAAGTCTACTTAGATCAAGGAGCCATTGGGCCTGCTTTCCTCTTTCTGGTACGGTCTCCTTCACGTCTTAGAGGAAGGTAAAATTTGTCCTGCAGCAACATATGTGGGATTCTTTGGATAGTGCATTTGGTTGCTTTTTATTGCCTTTTATTTAAGAAAATTCAAGGTCACTTTAATGCAAGCATGGATGTTGAACAAATCTCTCAAGAATGGTTAGACCTTTGATAACCCTAAATATTTTCCCTAATGTTGTCAGCATTTTTTGTAATGCTGCTGGTCGAGCAACCAGGAGCGCAGCAAACAGGACGGGCAAACAGGGCATGGTGTGGCAGAACGGTGTGACACAGCAGTTGGCGCCGCAGTTGGTGGGCAGTTGGCACAGGCAGGGAGCAGTCCCCCTCCTGGCTTTAAAGGGAAACTCAGCTGGTGCTCATTGCCCTCCCAGGAGAGGACCTAGCAGCTATGGTTTCCACTCACCCAAAAGCCATCGCCAGAAAGAATGCAGTGACCCAGACAGAGCTCCCGCACCAATGTACAGCTGTCCAGGTCTCTGGCTGCAGGGAGTGCCCGAGCCTGTCACTCGTACCGGAGGGCAGCAGAGACAACAGCTGTCTTCAGTGTGACCAGGTGAAGGATCTGCTCAGCCTGGTGGCAGAGCTGAAAGAGGAAGCGGAGAAGCTAGGGAGTATCAGGGAGTGCAAGAGGGAGATGGATTGGTGGAGCTGCACCGTGCCAACCCTGGGGCCAAAGCAGCAGATGGAGGCCCCACAAGGAGCAGAGGATCCCCTACCCTCTTGCCAGCAAACAGAAGGAGGGCACCTAAGAGACAGGGGGGAATGGAAACAGATCCCTGCTTGGGGCAGCAGGTGAATCCCCTCCCCACCTCCCTCACCTTTCCAGTTGCCCTTACACAACAGATATGGGGCTCTGGAACTTGAGGGCCAGGCAAATGAGGATGTAGGTGAAGGTCCAGCCAGGGGGTTTCCTAGGGTGAATCAGTCAGCCCCACGCATTACGACTGCTTCTGTTAAGAAAAAAAAGAGGGTAATTGTTGTAGACGATTCCCTCCTGTGGGGAACAGAGGCCCAATATACTGTCCAGTCCCATCCCACAAGGGAGTCTGCTGCCTCCCTGGGGCCTGGGTTAGAGACATTACTAAGAAATTCCCCGATCTGGTACAGCCCTCTGATGATTATGCACTGTTAGTTATGCAGGTTGGCAGTGATGAGGTTGCAGAAAGAAGTCCAAAAGTGATCAAAAGGGACTTCAGGGCACTGGGGTGATTGGTTGAAGGATCGGGAGCACAGGTAGTGTTTTCCTCGATCTCATCAGTGGCAGGGAAGAATACTGAAAGGAAAAGGAAAGCTCAGCTGATTAACATGTGGCTCAGAGGCTGGTGCCACTGGTGGAATTTTGTTTTTTTCAATCATGGTGAGGTTTACATGGCACCGGGCCTGCTGGCAACAGATGGAGTTCAGCTATCTCCAAGGTGGAAAAGGATTCTCACTCATGAGTTGGCAGGACTCATTGAGAGGGCTTTAAACTTCGAAGGGGGAAGGGGGTATAACCAGGCCCACTAGAGAGGAACCCAGAGTGGCATGGCAATGTTGGAGGTGAAATCGATAATAGCCCAGCTCAAGTGCACCTACACCAATGCACGCAGCATGGGCAAGAAACAGGAGGAGCTGGAAGCTATTGTGCAGCAGGATGGCTATGACTTAGTCGCCATCACAGAAACATAGTGGGACAACTCGAATGACTGGAGTGCTGCAATAGATGGGTGTAAGCTCTTCAGAAGAGATAGGCAAGGAAGGAGAGGCGGTGGGGTGGCTCTGTATGTTAGGGAGTGTTTTGGCTGTATAGAGCTCGACAGTGGTGATGATAAGGTTGAGTGCTTATGAATAAGGATGAGGGGGAAGGCCAACAAGGCAGACGTCCTGCTGGGAGTCTGTTATAGACCACCCAACCAGGATGAAGAGGTAGATGAAGCACTCTATAAGTGGCTGGCAGAAGTCTCACAATCGCTAGCCCTTGTTCTTGTGAGTGTCTTCAACTTGCCAGACATCTGCTGGAAATACAACATAGCAGAGAGGAAACAGTCCTGGAGTGTGTGTAAGATAACTTCCTGATGCAGCTGGTAAGTGAGTCTACCAGGGGAGGTGCCTCGCTTGACCTGTTGTTTACAAACAGAGAAGGACTCGTGGGAGATGTTGTGGTTGGAGACCGTCTTGTCCTCAGCAACCATGATACAATAGAGTTTTCAATTCTTGGCAAAGTAAGGAGGAGGGTCAGCAAAACCACTACCATGGACTTCTGGAGGGCAGGCTTTGGCCTGTTCAGGACACTGGGAAAGCCTTTTGGGAGGCAGTCCCGATTGGCAAAGGGGTCCAGGAAGGCTGGGCATTCTTCAAGAAGGA